GAAACGATTGATCTGCTCCTGCCTCGGGCTTCCACCCCTTCTCCCCCTTCGGCAGGGTGTGATCACCTCCTCACCCTGGCAGGGCTGGCCAGCAGCCAGGCAGCTCAGCCCTGCTCCCCAGCAGCCAAAAACCTCTCACCAGCTTGGCTTTGCTGCCAAAGCCCCCCAAACCCTGGGCAAACCACAGCCAGCAGCAGGCCAGGCTGGCTCCTTCCTCCCCTCTGCCCAGCCTGCCAGAGCTGCAGAAACACCAACACGGGGTGCAAAATGCACCAGGGGGTGAGAAGGGATTGCTCAAGCTCGTTTTGCTGGGYTTTGGCAGCAATTCCTGYGGCATCCAGCGGATCTYACAACCCCTGTCGTGCTGAGCTCAGCCCGGGCACGGCTCTGCCCTGCACCAGCACCCCCGAGGGCACCCAGGGGAGAACAGGAGGAATCCCTCCTCTCACGGGGAAGCGAGCCAGGTGTTGAGCTTAAACCCACATCTGCTCAGGAGATGGATTTTACCGGGAGGATTTACGAGCGCCCCGCACCCCACAAAACCCCGGGATTTTTGCTGCGTCCTGGAGCGAATCCAGCGCGACTGGACACGGGACAGAGCCGCTCACGGCCACGGCCGGCCCTTCACTGCCAGGGTACAGCGAGATCTTTCCGTCCCGGGCTGACGTACAGGACGCAAAGTTTAAATTTAAAGAAGTCGGGGAGGGAGCGGGGAGAGCGAGAAACAGAATCTCCCTGGATGGAGAGCAGCGACACAGGCATTGCACGGGACCCGGCACAGGCACATTTTTGCGCGCCCACGTCACCCCGCCGAGGGAAGAGGCGGGAGGAGAGGAACGAGAGGCTGCAGGCGCTCCTCGCTGACTCTTATCTCSGCTCACATACCCAGGGGAGCCCGGGCAAAGCCTGAATGAATCCCCAAAAAACAGCGCGGCGGCCACAGAGCCGCTCTCACCAACGCGTGAGCGTCAGATGCTGCCAATTCCCCCGGCAGCGGGCAGCTGAGCCCCGGCCAGGGCTGAGCACAGCTCCTGGCAGGGAAAGAGGAGTGACTGCGAGTAACCCCTGACCCGGGGCGAGGTGATTATGGCAAACTCGGAGGCGGCAAGCCGTGACGCGCCCCGCCGCTCATTGGCCCCGCTCGATGGTGTGGTTCCTTTGTGCCGCTCGCACGCCCCTTCCCAGCCCCGCCGCCTTCAGCTGCTTGAAAACGGCCTCTGCCCCCCGGGAGAAGGTCAAAGCCGGGGGGTTTTCGGTCACCAGCACAGCGGGGAAAGGTTTAGTCAGCCGGGATGGTGGAGGAAATGGGGATCCCAGCACACAGTGACGTCCGCCAGGCTGGGGGAGAGGAGGAAGCAGGCAAATGGGTGAGGTGGTGGAGGGAAATGTGCCAAAAAGTGTTTCAGAGAAGGAACTGGAARGGAGGGATGGCCCTCAGGTAGGATCTCCTCCTCTTTGCGAGGAGCTGGAGCAGCCACAAGCTTTGAGCTGGGTCCTACAAATCGGCCCCTTCAGAGCCCTCACACACAGCGAGATCCCCCCAGAGCCCGCAGGGAAACTGAGGCAGAGCCCCCAGCCAAAGCAGCAACACCAGCTCTGTCCCACAGAGCCAGAAAAACCCGCGTTGGAGAGGTTTTAAATCAGCTCAGCTCCGTCCAAACCGGAGCTGCGGCCGCCCCGGCGCTCGCCGAAAGCTCGGGCTAATTTTAACGGAGCGGGAGCAGCTCGGAGGAATGCGGTCCCACCCCCTGCCTGGAGATTAGGGCGAGCCGAGCCGTGCGGGGCTGTCCCCCRGCACCCTGCGCTAATCTCCGGACCCCAGACCCCGCCGAGGCCGAGCTATTTCGGGCCACGTGTGCCCAGCCCGGCTGCAACAACTGCCTGCTGCTGGCCGGAGCTATTCCAGGAAAGCCAGGAAGAGGAGGGTATAATCTGCAAAGGGAAGGCTCCCCAAATCCCACCCTCTGTGTGTGCTCCAGGATATTTTAGCACAGGACATGCCCCGCTCAGGCATTAACACCCGGCAGGATCCCCATCCCGTGCAGAACAGGTGTTTGGGATGCCCTAAAAATGCCCTGAGTGCAGGCATGAGCGGTTTGGGGGGTCACAAAGCCCGTCCCATCTGCTGGGCCCGGCGCTAGGAGCGTCCACGTGCGATTCCCAGATCCATGACAGCTGTTTTCCTGCCCCTCGTGACTGTCAGCCGGCACTTCCACCGCCGTGCCTCGGCCACACACACCCCCGGCYCTCCTCCCTGTGCCTGCCATGCCGWCTGCTGGGGCTGCCACCACGCCAGGGCTCCGCAGCCACCGCGGGGACAAAGTCCTGCTCGGAGCTGGCAGGTGCAGTGACACCGAGGACAGCCAGAGCAAAAAAAAAAAAAAAAACAAAAAAACTTGAGGCCCCGCCAGCTGTTGGTGGCATCTGGGGCTTTTTGGAGCAGCTGGCACCTCACCTGGGTGAGCCAGGGTGTCATCACGTCCTGCCCTGCGTGCCAGGGGACAGGCAAAGCTGGCTGGAAGTGACACAGCMGGCAGGGAATGCTGCCGGCAGCTCTTACCAGGGCATCAGGCGGCCGATGCGGGTCCACGAGGTTTTGCTGATGAAAAAACCCACCATGGGGTCCGTGATGGCGTCCCACACCCGGCCCGCAAACAGGATGATGGAGGCGTAGAAAGCGTCCACCTGCAGGAGGAGGAGCTGCTGTCAGGGTTTGCAACCCCCCTGAGCCCCTCAGGAGCACCCCAACCCTACCTACTGTGACCCCACAACCTTTTAGGAGCAGTCCCTCGGTCTCTMCCCCGCGTTCAGGGGGATTTGAGGCTCTCAGGATCTCCCAGTGCTGTCCCACCACGCTTTTTCCACATTTCGGAGCAGAGTTTCCCAAACCCAGCACAAGGGAGCCCACGGGCACTGCTTCCTTCCCTCCGCGTCCCACACCGACCCCACACGCTGTGGGTCTGTCTGGCGGCCCCAAACAGCCTCCACGACCCGGTTTTATCTCCAAAAACCCGAACGGAGCTCAAGCACGGAGCGGCCGCACGGCAACAACGCGAGTGGGACCGGCCCGGGAAAAACGCGCAACCCCCGGGGGTCTCTGGCGGGGGTCGGGGCACCTCCATCCCCCGAGCAGAGCGGCACCGGGACCCCCAATCCCCAACCCAGCCGTACCTGAGCCACATCCAGGAGGTAGATCTGGAGGAAGAAGCCGAGGGCGCAGCCGGTGATCTGGTASGGAGCCCCCCCGACGGCGTAGCACAACTTACTACACACCGACAGCCGCTCCCGGCTCTCCTGCAAGCGGCACCGGGGTTAGCGAACCCGGGAAAAGCTCCCCCCCGCCCCGGACCCCCCCGTCCGGGCTCTCCCGGTGCTCACCCTGCGGTGATGCTGGCGGAGGGCGGGCGGCAGGAGCCCCCCGGCCCCGGTCCGCTCCGCGCCGCCGCCCCCGGCCATGCCGTGCGCGATGAATGGGCCGAGCTGCCGCTGCCCGCCCTTGTACCGGGAGATCCCGCCCCGGGAGGGGCCCACGGACCCGTCTCCGCCTTCTCCTCCTCCTCCTCCTCCTCCTCCTCCAGCCCTTCCCCCCATTCCTCCCTCTCTGCGTCCCGCTCCTTTCTCCACATCTCCACATCTCCACATCCCCTCATCCCTCAATTTCCCCGTCCCTCAGGCCCCCCATTCCATCCCTTCCCTCCATCCCAGCCCTTCATCCCTTAAAATCGCAGAGCGGTTTGGGTTGGAAAGGACCTTAAAGCCATCTGGTTCCAGCTCCCAACTGGGTTTCTCCGAGCCCCGTCCAGCCCGGCCTCGAGCACTGCCAGAAATGGAAAATCCTCCACCTCTCTGGGTGACCTGTGCCTCACCGCCCTCATCGCAAAAACTTTCCTCACATCTAACCTAAATCTGCCCTTTTTCAATTTTCCATCAGCCCTTGTCCTGTCACAGCAGACCCTGCTCAAAGGGACAATCGCAGTGTCCCCTCACTGGGTGGCCACGTGGCCACCGATCGCAGCCCCTCTCAGGTGCTGTTTGCCCACCGGGCACACAGAGCCGTGTCACCCGTGTCACCGCCGTGTCACCGCAGTGACGGCCACCAGCTGCCCTCAGATGAGGCCACCAGGGTTCAAAGGCCACCCTGAGATGCAGGGCAGGGCCACGGTGGCCAGCGTGGCACCGGTGCTGTCCCCTGAGTGCCACCCGGAGCTGGGCACGGGGATGGGGACGGGCAGGGAGATGGGCACAGGGGGTGAGTGGGTGATCAGCAGCTCCAGGCGCTGCCCAATTTCGGGAGCTCTGAGCTGGTGTCACCCCTGAGTCACAGTTTCTGGCCCCTCACACACCTTCAGTGGGTTCCCTTGGGTGTCACACGGCCACCCGCTGGGGACAGGGACATGTGTGAGGCTTCATCAAAACACCCCAAAACAGGAGAGGGGCGAGGTGTGGACAAAGACCTGCCTCAGTTTCCCTTTTCACAAAGCAAACCTCTTACCCAGGAGCAGAAGGGACTCCTGTGGTGGCCCTGGGCCATCCTGCAGTGACCAGACACCTTCTGTGTGTGACCCCAGCACTGTCACCCTTTGTCCAGGGGCTCCTCAGCTCCTGGGAATGCTTTTGGCTTTCCCGCCCTTGACAAAGCTCTCAGCTGCCTCCCGGGCAAACACGGCTTTGGGGGAACAAAGAGACACAGAAATCATTCAGAAACATCCCAGATAGGTGAATTCAGCCTYGAATAGGAAGAGRAGACRTAGACAGAGCAGGATTTCCCYGGATTAGGGGGATTTTCTCCCCCARRTTTGGTATTGCACSATTTCCGCTGGGGGATTTGGGACCTTCCCTCCAGCAGATGCTGCTCTGGGGGGTCCTCAGGGTGATAAATGATCCCAAAGGGCTGATCCCAGTGGGGACATCGGGGACTCCAGRGACCCACAGAGTTTGGGGCTGGGCTCACAGGGTCACCCTTGTCACCAGGACCAGCTCAGTGACACCACACCCCTCAGCTGGCACCATTTTTGGGGGTGAGACCCCAATGCTGGCCCTGGCACGTGGAAGGATGGGGGCTCCGGTGTGTGATGCCATCCTGCCTGCCACACCTGGAGCTGTCACACATCCGGCACAGCCTGGAACAGGATCTGAGCAAGCGTGAGAGCACCCGAAACCAGCCAGCCCWGCCAGGCTGGGCCAGCCAGGACACGGAGCAGGGCTCGGGGGCAAACACGGCAAGGGGATCCCGGAGATTCGGGGGGGCACAGAGCAGCCCGAGCGTGGGGAGGGCTCTGTCTGACACCCCGGGGCTTCTCCAGGGCTCAGGGCACCTCCTGGCGTCAGGGAGGGCAGGACCGGGACAGGATGGGTTAGGGTGGGATAGGATTCCCGGGATAATTCCCGGTTCACACCGGGACAATTCCCGGTTCACACCGGGATAATTCCTGTGACAATTCCCGG